TTGGTTAATAATCAGCATTAAATAATAATTAATTAAACTTTAATTAATTCAAACATATTGGTGGAGATATTAAAATTTACCTGAGCTAATAATTCCTACACATATGACCCCTGTTTCACAGTGTTGAAATTAAGCAACCAAGCATTTCATTACACATTGTACTGAGTATAACTGTGTATGTGACAAACCGTCGAATGATTGATTGATCGAGTGATTGATTAATTGATTGGTGGATGTACACCAGAAGCCCTGAAAATCCTAAATTTTTCAGGCAGAATGCCGTAGTACTACAGTAGAACACGAGAGGCTGGTGTCTGTGTATATCCATTGCCCAGCTCTGTCCGCACATCTCACCCTTGTGATTTATCATGCTGAATGGTCCTTTCAAGCCTAATCATTTTTGGTCCATGGTCCTAAGAGGATTCTCTCATGCCACTTTCACCCCGGGCTACGTCAAGCTCCAGATTCTCCCAGATTAGCCAATCAAACGCAGCCTGGCTCGAGGCGAGCTGGGATTTCATACTTATAACGTATTGATTACCTGTCCGCCCGCAGTCAGGCTGAAGAGGAGGAGAGAGCACAGATGCTGATATTTGGTTTTCAGCGGGAAGGGGCTGAAGCTGTTGTTTTTTGGTAAGATGTATAATATTATTTGTGTGACTGTTACCCAATAGCATTCCATTGTGAAGCTCTGCTTGTCTGAAAAAAAAACCAAAATAGTAGTTTAATAAATTCAGACCTTACTAAGATGTAGGGTTCTTTTTGGACGCACAGCCTGTGATAGTTAATACATTACCAGTGTGTCAGTTTTAGGCCATATTTCTTTGACTTTGTTTCTTTGTTTATTTGTTTGACGAGTGCAAAAATTCAAGATTGAACATTAGAATGTTAGAATGTTAGAAACAGAGGACTTAAAAGAAGGAGATGGACCAGCTCTGTGACCATGGCAGTAGTGGTCCCTCTAGCCCTGCAATGAATCTAAAGCACCAGAGACTAAATCAAAATTTACTACCATCACTTACCACCGTAATGCATGAATACCCCCCAAATAACCACCCATAGCGACAGCGCTGAAACTGAGGCTGGGGTTGAAGCCACTGGGGATCTCCCAGAAAAAGCAGCTTCCTAACATCACGGTGCTTCCTGAAGGTACCCCCCCACCCCCCCCACCCCACCCGCGTAGCACCTGGCTGGATCCCAGCACGCCTTCCCGGCACTCAGAGCCAGCGCACTGGCAGTACGTACGCGGGAGGGAAAAAACACACTGGGAACGCAATAATGGTGGGGGGGGGGGTATTCCTCGAGGGCGGTGTACAACCTTTCCGAGAAACCACAGGGTTTGGGTTTTGCAGCAGCGGTGTGGCACCGGCACGTTTGAGGGATGGGGTTGCTATGGCGACCATCTATGGCCGCGCGCACTTCTGAAGTAGAATGGCTCAAGTGGTCTGAAGATCGCAAACACAGAGCAACAGACTTCAGTTCCTCTGATTGCCTGCATTAGAATCCCCCCCCCCAATTTCTGTAATTATCTAAAATTTAATGTCAAAGAATACACTCCCCCCTCCCCCCGTGTAAATACATTGGAAACAATAAAGGGGATTAAAACAGCGATTAAAAATGAGGATAAAAACAGAGAGTAGAGGGAGGGGGGGAATGATTAGGTGGGTGTAATGGACGATGGGAGGGATACGTGTGAAATGTGCCCCCCTCCCCACCTGAGCTGAATCTGTAACAAACCCCCCACCCCCCATCGTGATGCCTGAATGGGGCTGCATTTAATCAGGGCTCCCTCCCGCTGGCCGTCTCGTGCCACTGCACCCACTTACTCTCAATATCCCCCCCCCCCATCACATAAACAGCCCCTGTAATCCTGCAAAAAGCTGCCCACTGCCCACTGCCCACTGCCCACTGCCTGTACACCCAAAAACAGGGAATCATGTGGCTGCAACTGAATACTTGCAGCGGATGTGAAAGGTCTGCACACCCTGATGGAAAAACAGACACTCCCTGTCGGTCACTGTGCCACCAAAATTTAAGAAAAAAGAAAAACGATCATCAGCAGTACAATTAACAAATTTCTGGTTTTACGTCACAAAAACCTACAATTTCAATAAAGGTGTCTAGACGTTTCATATTCACTGTAAACAAACTCACATCACCACAGTCTTTGTAAAGACTTTCCCTTATTTAAATGCAGTTAATTAATATCTAATTAACATCTAATGCCATGCAAACACAACTCTGGGAGAGATGAAAATTGACCAACAAGCGGTTACGCCACTCTCAGAACATCAAAGCCTCTGCACTTCAGCTGAGCTAATTCCAGAGCTGGGTTTGAAGAAGCATCCGAACTCTACGCTGAAGGAGACCGCGGAGGAGCTGGATCGAACATGTGCGAGGTCCTGCATGACCTGGGGTGAGATACGGTGGCCAGGAAGCACCAGGAGAAAAGAGAAGGTGGTCACGACCTTCTGAGGCACTAATGGTCTGAGAGCAGGAGGACAGAAGATCCATGAAGATGCATGAGAGATAAAGTAAGGAGGGGGATGGGATGGGAGGGAGCCTCAGTGCTCAGGAGAGCAGAGACCAGCTGAGAGATGGAAGCAGCTGGGAGAGTGGAGAAGAAGCCCCAAGCCTTGATAAAGAGGTGACCAGCAAGGCCACCTCAGGTCCATTGCGTGTAGCTCAGTGAGTTAGGATGCAATAGTGGTGACAGGAAGGTCACTAGTTCAAACCCCACCAGTAAGCAGTGTGATTGGGCCCCTTTAGCAAGGTCCTTAAATCCTAATTGCTTCAGGGACTTTCTGAACCGCATGTTGATTTGCACAAAAAATTTCTAGTTAAGAAAATTTTTAAGTTATAAAACTGAGCCATTGTCAGAAGGAACTGCACATCCGCCGCTCTGGCCCTCAGGTACCCCGGTCCAAATCATCAGTGACCTCACTGTGCCAGTTAGACACAGATTAGTCCATCGCTTTCTCAAAGACGTACTTAGCTTTTGTCTGTTAAATGGGGTAACTGTAAATTTCTTCAGCTCCCACTGTCAGAGGCGATCGGCTTGGAGCCTCACTATACTGAGCGACTCGGTGCCGTATGGAACGCGGCTCGTCTGGAAGGAGTCGGCACTCACGGAGCTGGGAGTCACCATCAGCACGCTCCTGCTCTTCTGCATCTTCCGTTCGGCCACCCCTGGCTCCTTGCTGGCTCGGCCGGCACCGCTGTGGGGGAGGGAGGTACAGATGCCATGAGAACATAAACATATACAAAGTCGGGGAAGTCAGATATAATTTTGTGGGGCATGGCCGCGCTGGAATTGGTTGTGAGGAAAGGTATGCGAGCCCAGCACCTGTTAGACCTCCAAAATGACCCGCGAGAGGAATGACTTGTTTGGAAACCTATTCTGAACGCTGCCACGTGTGCTACCTCTATCCCAGGGTCCTAACACCAAAACCCTGAGCGCTGGGTTGGTGTTCAGACGCATTCGCTGCAGAAAACAGCACCTGTGCTTCTGCTCAGTGTCACACTTACTGTATGTCCCCTTTGGTGTCACTGGAAATACTGGAAATGGTCCTTTTTAAAATCACTGCGTCTGTCATCACTGGAATACTGGAAATGGTCCTTTTTAAAATCACTGCATCTGTCATCATCACAGACAGCTAACGCTTCTGAAAATATCTTATTTTTCCTTTTTTTTTTTACTGCCTCCCCGCTTGATAATCGTCACAGTAATCTTCCTACGTCACGTCAGACATCTCTGTTCAAAAACATGATATGATGGGGATTAGAGGTCCATTGCAGCCCCAGCCAGAAGTAAACAGTGATGGTATGACCTGTGAAAGCAGCGGCCTCATGCACCACTCCAAGCCCAAATCTGGAGCTGGTCTCTCATCTCACATTACCGTGACAGAAACCAGGTTAGTCCCAGTATGTGTCTTACAGCAATAATACAGCAATAATTTCCACATAGTTCCATGGTCCTTCTCTCAACCAATTGTCAAGTTCCTCACATGGTGTCTGTCTGCGATTCTTCACACTCGAGAGAGTTTAATTGCCCAATACATGAAGAAAAAGTGCAAAATAAAAGAAAACTGAAAGTCTTCTTTGAAAAAGAAGAAAAACTGAAAAACTTATTTCAGTTACTTTATTTTTATCTAATGCTTTCCCCCTTTGTACTATCCATTAATCTATAAAAGTAGGATCAAAGCAACCACCTACCCAACGCAGGGGCACGGGTAGCCTGGAAGCTATCCCAGAAGGCACTGGGGCATCAGTCAATCACGGAACGCAATAATGGAAACGCAGAGAGTAAATTAGCGAAACTACGTCTCTCTGAACTGTAGGAGAGTATCAAGGGGGAATCCGCACAAACATAGAGAAAATAAGCAACTTCCCACAGAGAAACGGAACAAACCTTAAAACCCCAATCCTGGGGGCGGCAGACCACAGAAGTACCCAGTGAGCCACCGAAGAACTTCCCAGCCAAGCTTTAAGTGCTTCAGGCATCTCCAAAAGCAACGACCCAAAGCTACAACCTTTCAGAGACCTCCTTGATGACCACAACACTGCCACCACCTCCAGCATACATATAAACCAAGATATAAAACACATTAAACATCACAGCCACAAGGCAATATGTTCCAACCTCTAGCTGTGACAACACTTCACAGACAGCTAATAATCAAGACAACTGCACTTGACAAACGACCATACATGGGTTTACTATACGGCCTGTGGTAAATAACAGCCTGATAAATATTCAGTTCATAGATGTGTTTGCTGTGACGTTTAGCCTGGAGGGAAGCGTAGCCAGCGAATCCTGACATCATCTCAGTCCATCCAATTCCATCAAGTGCTGAAGGAAAATGGTTTGAAAACTGCTTTTAATTACAGAGGTGAAGTTATACTTGTGAGATACTGGCCAGATGCCTGGAGATATCACACCACGAATAAACTGCAAATTTAATTTCTTTCCCAGCAAATTTCGGTTTGGCCGCGCAAAGAATTTGAAGTGTATGTCTTTACTTGTCTTTGAGGATTTTTTTCTCTCAAAAATGATCTGGTGGTTATTGACTAGCCAAACTCAAAACCGTAATTTAAACCAATCGATTCCAAATCAAGGTGTGCTATACACCTCACCTCACTGGTTGGGTGGGCTGATTCATAAACCTCCTGTGAAGCTACTGCAAGCATCGGAAAACAGCTGCTACCTAAACTAAAATTAAACTACCTAAAAAAACCACAAACAACCGACTAGACAATAGAACTCAGAAGCACTTCGGGTACATTTCTTGGGTTCCTTTCAAACATTTTCTGTCTCCAAATGGGCCAATTACCACAACAAATCACTTAATCACGCTGCCTTTCTCCATCTTCCAAAGGATGAAATTGCAGGCATATGGAAGATGCATCACGACATGCATCACGGTAACGCTTGGCTTTGGCGTACCATTAACGCTGGCTAACATTAGTGTCTTTCAGTGATTTCTTGAATTACACCTTTAAATTGTACAGAATGATTGGACTGACCAAAGAGATAATGGCACTTATTTCAAAGCACAGTATAAGAAGATCTGTGAATAACAGAGCCTTAATAAATCTAATATATATGTACTAAGCAAATCAATCAGCATCATCATCATCACCGCTGCCATCATGCCCAAATGGGATTACCCAAAATCTGAGTTACATAACAAACATAAGAATACTGGAGAGAGTAATCTTGATAAATGTCTGTCTTCATTTGTCTGCCGTGAACGAACAAAGGAGAAAAACAAGACAGCTCTTCATCTCAGGTGAAGACAAATAAAAATGTGTCACTTTACAGTTACTAATCCTCCAGCAATATTCGAGATTTTGCCTGCAAGGCAGAATAATTTACCGCTCTAATGTCCTCAGATGGAAGGTTTGTCCTGTAAAATGTCATATTTTAAGGATAAGGCACTCTTTAAACAGACTCAAACTGTGAATAACAGGATCAAAGAGGTCACTGATTGTTTGGACCAGGGTACCAGTAGTTCTGGGGGAAAAGTATAGTTTCCAAAATGTGTTTATTAGACACTTTTATCCAAATCAATGTACAATTGAGAAACCAAGGTCGAGTCAGTCCCTGGAGCGACTGGGGGTTACTCTGCCAACCCCGGGATTTGAACTGATGACCTTTCGCTCATGAGCATGGCATCCTAACCTGCGGGGCGACACACCACCCCTCACATACAGAGGTGGATAGTTCAGGTCCAGAAAGTAACAATCCAGACCAAGATTTTGTTTCAACCAACCCAGAGGCGTCAGAAGCATTTTGAATGAAATGTAAGGGGGACACGTCCCCCTCAGATTTAATGGCAGCGACGCCCATGAACCAACCGAATACTCTGTAATTGTGACTCTATATGCTCAACTGGTTGGTTGAAACAAAATCTTGGTCTGGATTTTTACTTTCTGGACCTGAACTATCCACCTCTGCCCATGTACGTGCAGATATGCATGCCGGTCTGGAAAGGAATGACCTCCTGAATGCCTCTCATTTAGTGTCTCCATGAAGAGCAGCTTCTCTGTTAGCCATTAGCCTGTTCCTCAATGCTAGCTCTAAATCACTGCTTATTAAAGAGTTATTGATTATACACATGCGCTCCCCATTTCAGATGGAGAACACGAAGCGTGTCGAAGGACAGGTGCTCAGGATCACTCTGCCGATGTGCCGCAATACCATCTGTTTCTTAACGTATCAGGAAAATGCGACATTTGCATTGCAAGCAAAAACAAGCTCGTACTAATAAAAAATACATGAGAAGACCCCCCTCTTCAAAAGGATAATTATTTCGCCTCTAAACAGACTCGTAAACATCAATTGTATTCATCACCCGACTGTGAGCCTCAAGGACACGTGAGCGTTTTCCAGAAAGAAATGTACATATGCAACGCATCGATAGGTCCAGGCATCATCGATCTGCCCAAAGAGGCACCAGCCTTATACATCCTGGAGAGTCTAGGTCAGTGTTTCTCAATCCGGTTTTGGAGGCCCACAGACAATCCACGTTTTTGCTCCCTCCCAGCTCCCTACCAGAAAAACGTGGACTGTCTGTCTGGTAGAGAGTTGGGAGGGAGCAAAAACATGGACCGATTGTAGGTCCCCGAGGACTGGGCTGGAAAACACTGGTCTAGGCAATATAAATGTTTGATGCTTGCAAGAAAATAAAGAAATGAAGCATCGATTTTTTTCCCTTTTACACTGGCTGGAATAAGGAGGAGTATCATTCCAACTGCCATAACTCTCAGCTTGGCCATTAGATCACGAAACCAACGTGCCGTCGGACGCTGAGCCAGACATCCAGCCTTGAGGCTGCGTGTCGAAATCGCTTCCCCTCGATTAAGGCACCTGGCAGACGTATGAGGTCCTTTTCCGTCACTGTCACATTGCGAAATAACTCCTCTCTGCAAGGTTGTACGGTACGCGTCATGCAGCAGTCGTATACATTTCATACAGTGGATCACATATCAAATAAATGTAGCTATAAAGAAGTCATCCGCTGCAGATATCGAGTTCTAACTGTACCATGTTACAGGATTAAACTTTAGCATCCAGTAGCATAGTGGTTCTAAACCCACTCCCTGCCCCCCCCCCAGTCAGTTCTTATCTTCATTTTATAGCACTACCTGCATGTCTGCGCCAGGTAGTCAAAGGCTTTGATAATTAGCTAACAAGTGTGTTTAAAAATCAGGTGTGTAGGAGGAGAAACAACAAAAATGCAAATTATTTGTGGGGCGGGGGGCTGGAAATAACTGCTGTAGCAGGAAGAACATGAAAATGCAGCTTTGCCCATGTACCCATTGTTCCATCCATCCATCTTCCCACCGCGTATCCAGCATAGTGTCGCGGGGGCGCGGATGGGGGGAGGGGGGTACGTAAGTCATTCACTATGCTTAGTCATTCGAGCTTCAACAAGAACAAAATAAGGCTAGGCTATGGAATCCACACATTTCAGTATTACTAGTTGCTCTAGATGGCCTTGGATCTAGCAAAACGTTTCACATGATGAAAAAAACTCAATAATCCCTTTAACAGACTGTAAAAGGGCAATAATCTCCCTTTCTTATAGTTATAAAATATCCGCAAGGTCTTCTTGTCAGCTTGGAACATTCAGTTCCTTAACTCCAACTTGCAACATTACATGTCTGGAGAGATGGACGCATTTTTGTCGGTATCAAGTAAATATCAAGCACT